TTCCTGCTCTGACGGACGGCCGGGTGCACGTGGTGTCGGAGCCCATACCTGTCCGCGGGGGCATCGTGGGCATCAACTCATTTGGTTTCGGAGGCTCAAATGTCCATGTTATCCTGCGTCCACATGGTTCAAAATCACTGGCTCAGGCTGCACAACCTTCAGTCCCCAGACTTCTGCAGGCCTCCGGTCGCACTGAGGAGGCAGTCATTTCCCTTCTCAACAATGCTCAGCAGCATAAAGATAACCCAAGCTACCTGTCTCTTCTGAATGATGTGTCTGGAGTTCCAACGGCAGGCATGCCGTACAGGGGCTATGCACTGATTGGAGCACAGGGAGAGCTTACAGAAGTTCAACAAGCCCAGCCCACACCCAGACCCCTCTGGTACATTTGCTCAGGTGAGGGGGCATTTATATTTTTTATGGTGAACTTTTAAATTGGTGAAATCTTATTTCCTTCAACATTTTATATTAAAGCAGCTTGATGTACTACAGAATACATACTGTAACTTATAGAAACTTCCTGTACCATCCAAAAATAGCTTTTATTGGAACCAAGCTGCAAAAGCAATTTTCTGATGTTGTCATGGTGAGATAAAAACAAGAAAGCTGGTACAATTAGATACCATTAATCCTAAACATAAAAAGAACTAACAATAAAAGTAAAATTTTGTGTATTTTACATGCAGAAAGGACATTTCAGTAGCCAAAAATTAACAGTTTAAGGTAATGGGAAATTTAAATAAATAAACTAAATCTCAACTAATTACATTTTTATAATAATAATAAAATATTAAATAGTGTATGTATACAGTGTTGCTTGAAAGTTTGTGAACCTTTAGAATTTTCTATATTTCTGCATAAATATGACCCAAAACATCATCAGATTTTCGCACAAGTCCTAAAAGTAAACCGAGAACCCAATCAAACAAATGAGAAAATAATGTTTTATTTGTCATTTATTGAGAAAAATTATCTAGTGTTACATACTATATAATCATGATCAAGGCTGCATTTATTTGATCAAAAATACTGTAAAATAATAATATTGTGAAATTTACAGTAACCAGTTTCTATTGTAATACATTTTAACTGAAGAATTTTCAGTAGTCTTCAGTGTCACATGATCCTTCAGAAATCATTCTAAAATACTTATTATTAACAGTGTTGATACTTAATTTTTTTTAAATATTTTTGTGGAAATAAATAATACAGTAAAATGTGCGATATATAACCCTTTTAAGGTTGTGATTCAAAGCGAGTCAGTCACCGTAATGGAAAGTCTCTCTACACATGATCACATTGGCTGGATTTTTATTTCTATCTCCTGACAGGTATGGGCACACAGTGGGCTGGAATGGGCCGTAGCCTGATGCAGCTGCCTGAGTTCCGGGAGTCGATCCAGCGTTCGGACGTGGCTCTGAAGGACACTGGGTTGTGTGTGTCTCGCTTGCTCATGGATGCTGATGAGAGCACTTTTGAAGACACTGTCCACGCATTTGTTGGTCTTGCAGCCATTCAGGTCAGTCTCCCCCAGCTCTAGAGATACCAAGTACAGTGCCAGTGTGACTGGAACAGTATTGACATCAGCAGAATTTCTCAATGAAAAAATGACCCCTGACAACTTTGGAACTGATATAGGCCTGCCAAATGTTGCAATACAGTGGCACAATCAGTCATGATTTCAACAGTCGCTCCGTCTGCAATGACAATTCCGTCATTATTTACTCAACCCGCATTTTCAAACCTGTATGGCTTTCTTTCTGCTCAAACAAACAGTTCTTTCCTGTGGAACTGGCACACTTGCATATGCAAACTTGTCACATCACAATCAGTTATGAGACAAAAGAACTGATAATTTTATGATATCATTCATATCAAACCTAGTAGACTTGCTAGTTGTAGTCTCACAATTTTCATGCCTGACTATCTTTCACCTACCTGAATGCATTCCTGTCAAATTTCCAGGTTGCCCAGATTGACATGTTGCAGAAGATGGGTCTTCAGCCTGATGGGATCGTGGGCCACTCTGTAGGAGAGCTAGCGTGTGGTTACGCCGATGGCTCCCTGAGCCACAGCGAGGCCATTCTGGCTGCTTACTGGAGAGGACGCTGTATTAAAGAGGCCAACCTGCCCCCGGGGGGCATGGCTGCAGTGGGTTAGTGTGGCAGCAGATGCCTTCACAGGCTTTGCTTCATTAATTTGAAGTGCAAAGTGCAAAGTGCAAAGCGTCCCTCCATGGGGGATTTGCCTAGTTTTTTGTTTAGCAATGTATGCTATAATTTTTTTAGCAAGCTTACCAATGGTTCCTTTTACCAACCCTCCCATTATCTCCCCACTCAGGCCTAACGTGGGAAGAATGCAAAGCTCAGTGTCCACAGGGTGTCGTTCCTGCTTGTCACAATGCTGAGGATACAGTGACCATCTCAGGCCCTCAGGTATATACCCTCTAAGAAATAACATCCCCCCAAAAAAAAAAAAAGAATATATTTTATAATATATGTATGTATGTGTATAAAATATATATATATATATATATGTATGTATATATGTATGTATGTGTATATATATATATATATATATATTTTAGAATAAAATTGTGATTTTTTTTTTTTTAAAATAAGTATTATGCTCATCAAGGCTACGTTTATTTTATGGAATGTTTTATAAAATACAGTATTAATAGCAATATTGTAAAAAAAATTTTTTTAAATATTACATGTAAAATAACTGTTCTATTTGAATGTATTTTAAAATTGAATTTAGTCCTATGATAGCAAAGTAGAATTTTCAGTAGCCTTTACTCTCCAGTCTATCCAGCCTTATTTTAAATATATATAAAAAAATTGTTTTTAAATACCAAACTAACATTAATTCTATACATGTAAACATGTTTTTTTAGGTTTTGAGAAATTACCGGTATTGAATTTAAATATATAGAATGATTGTATGTATACTAGTACCTAACAGCAAGTGTTTGGTTATGCAGGACTCTGTCAGCAAGTTTGTTGCCCAGTTGAAAGAGAGCGGTGTGTTTGCCAAAGAAGTGCGCAGTGCCGGTGTGGCTTTCCACTCCTATTATATGGCCTCTATTGCTCCAGCCCTTCTGTGTGCACTGCAGAATGTGAGTTGGTGAGGCATTGCAGTGTCACAGTGCCCTCTACTAGACATTAACGTCTCAAAACCTCAGCACAGATAGACACTGACTTCCTGTGCATGTTCTTCTAGGTAATAAAAAGCCCAAGGCCTCGTTCAGCACGCTGGATCAGCACGTCCATCCCGCAGACAGACTGGGAGAGCCCACTAGCGCTCTACTCATCAGCAGAGTACCACGTCAATAACTTGGTCAGCCCTGTGCTCTTTCAGGAGGGACTGAGCTTTGTGCCGGATAATGCTGTGGTAGTAGAAATTGCCCCACATGCTTTACTGCAGGTAACAGGGAATTAACCTTAATACACATGTCTTGAAGATTCAAATGTAGATCCATTTCTATTATTAACATACTCTTGATAAATCTTCAGGCCATCCTGAAGCGGAGCCTAAAACCCACCTGCTCCATCCTCCCCCTAGTGAAAAGAGGACACGCCAACAATCTGGAGTTCTTCCTCTCTCATGTGGGCAAAATCTACATGAATGGGTTGGTTTTTGTACTCTTAATTTCCTAGCTGTTTTGACCTCAAAGTGTCAGCATTTCCATCAATTTGATGATTGATGCACACTCTCTTGCATCTGCAGAATTAATGTGGACAGTAATAAATTGTACCCAACTGTTGAATACCCTGTTCCGACTGGGACCCCACTCATCTCCCCTCACATTCAGTGGGATCATTCCCAGGTCTGGGATGTGCCCAAGGTGGAGGACTTCCCTGCTGGCTCAGGGGGATCCACCTCAGCCACTGTGTACAATATCGGTGGGTAGTTGTGAAGTTGAAATTAGTGTTTTTCTCATCTTTGCTGTCATGTCATGATTATTTTTGAATGTTTTGTGCAGACATGAACCCAGAGTCTCCTGATTACTACATGATTGGACATTGCATTGATGGTCGGGTGCTGTACCCAGCCACAGGATACCTGGTTCTGGCCTGGAGGACTCTGATGAGATCTCTGGGTGCAGTCATGGAGCACACACCTGTTATATTTGAAGACGTCACCATCCACAGAGCCACCATCCTCTCCAAGACGGGTAAAAGATTTGTTTTCTTTGTACTGTAAGTCTGAGATTCTTTGGTCCTGAAGTTTCTGGTAGTCACTATATCGCACAATGATGACAAATTTCTATCTATCTACTATTGCACTCTTATATGGCTTATTTCTTATTCTGAGGTGGAAAAAATATAAATTATTACTAAAAATGCACTACTGTTTAAAAGTTTGGGGTCAGTAAGATTTTTTTTATAAAGAAATTAAAACTTTTATTCAGCAAATGCACGTTAATTTGATCAAAAGTAACGACATTTAGAATGTTACAAAAGATGTGTCATGGTTTCCACAAAAATGTAAAGCAGGATAACTGTTTTCAACATTGATAATAATAAGGTCACCAAATCAATATATCAGAATGATTTCTGAAGGACCATTTGACCCTGAAGACTGGAGCAACTGTTAAAATTTAGCTTTGCCATCACAGGGATAAATTATATTTTTAAAAGTATTAAAATGGAAAACAGTTATTTTAAAATTATAATACTGATTCACAATAATGCTGTTTTTCTCTGTTTTGTACAAATATATGCAGCCCTAGTGAGCATAACCTTTTACAAAAAATCTTACTGATCCCAAACTTTTAAACTGTAGTGTACTTCAATATTGTGGATTAAATTTGAGACTAAATAGAACAGATTAGTTGTTAGCTAGTCCTTGTGACTTAGCGTTAACCAGATTGTTTTTGCATCACAGGGTCTGTCCAGCTGGAGGTGCGACTCATGCCCGCCACTAACCGTTTTGAGGTGTCCGAGAATGGAAATCTGGCTGTCAGTGGTGAGTTTCCAGTCAACAAGAGACACCATTCACAACTTATATCATGACGTTTTCGAGTAAAACAAGATATTTGTAAATTGACAAATATAGTATTTAAGACTCATGATCACACTGATATCCTTGTGGTCTCAGGTAAGGTGAGTGTCTTGGAGGATGCTGGACTTGATGCTTTCCATGCTGAGTTGAATAAACCAATGGCTGTAGACAAGGAAGATCCTAAACTGCTTTTGAAAGCCGGGGACATCTACAAAGAGCTGCGTCTGCGCGGATATGACTACGGAAAGACCTTCCAGGGAATCCTGGAGTCTAACAATGCTGGTAATTCCCCTCAAATGCATCTTAAACTGTCGGTGCCGATAGCCTTGTGGGCAGCACGCCGACATACAGCGCCGTTGTGCTATGGGCGTCCCGAGTTCGAATCCCAACTCGAGGACCTTTCCCGATCCCAATCCCGATTTTGCTATGGCCAAGACACTATTTGGCCAGTCCTGAGCTCTTTGTATTCTGGTTCTTCCAGGTGACTATGGAAAGCTTCACTGGACAGGTAACTGGGTGACATTTTTAGACACCATGCTGCAGATGATCGTAGTGGGGCTGTCTGGTCGCAGCTTGAGACTGCCTACTCGCATCCGCTCTGTGTGTGTGGACCCCAGACTTCATGAGGAGAGGGTAAACGAGTATGCAGATGACCAGAAAGGTATTAGACACGCCATCTACTTGAAGTCTGATGTAACCTGTCCTAAGTTGAAATGTATCTGACCAAACTTTCTTGTCCTCAGCTGTGGATGTTCATGTTAACCGCTGCCTGGACAACATAACAGCTGGAGGAGTTCAGATCTGTGGGCTTCATGCTACCGTAGCACCCCGTCGCCAACAGCAGCAGACTCTACCCACTTTAGAGGAGTTTGCCTTTGTTCCCTGTGTGGACTCAGATTGCCTGAGAACCAGTGAGAAACTTGGAGACCAACTGAGGCATTGCAAAGGCACGTTGTGATTTTCATTTCATTGAGAAATGCAGCATGGCATTTTGTGGTAACAATTCTTTCACACATATATAAAAAAGTCTTTTTTTTTTGCGCACCAAGGCTGATAAAAAATACAGTAAAATTGTGAAATATTATTACAATTCAAAAGAACTATTTCCTATTTTAAAATATTGTGAAATGCAATTTATTCCTGTGATGGCAAAGCTGAATTTTCAGCAGTCTTCAGCCTTCAGAAATCATTATAATGTGCTGATTTGGTGTTCAAGAAACATTTATTATTATTATCAATGTTGAAAACAGTTATTGTTTTTAGTACAATATAGTTTTTTTTTTTCAAGATTTTTTGATAAATAGAAAGTTCAAATGAACAGCAGAATTTTTTTTTCGTAACATTATAAATGTCTTTCGCTTTTGATCAATTTAATGTTTTATATTCATAGGTTTTGTAAAATTAGATGGACCTAAAATTATTTCATTTTTGTCCCCAGTTTAAATTTTCTGGGGTATTTTCCTCTATTTCAGTAGCACTGTGCTTACTTTTCCTATGTTGTATTCGCAGGTCTAGTACAGCGTCTGCAGAGGAAGCTGGCCAATCAGGGAGTGAAGATCTCCATCCCTGGGCTAGAAGGTGCAACAGAGAGCCAGCTGATTGGAGCAGAGGCAGAGAAAGGCCTGTTACGGTTGCTCTCTGTGCTGTGCGGACTGGAGCTGAACGGAAACCTGCGCTCTGAGCTGGAACAGACGGTGGAGAAGGAGAGAGATTGTCTGCTGCAGGACCCTCTGTTCAACGGCCTGCTTGACTCCCAGGCGTTACGTCACTGCTTGGACACGGCCCTTGAGAACAGCACTCCTGGAAAACTCAAAGTTGTGGAGGTGTGGTGAATTTATTATTTAGGATGAAAATAGGCAGGGGTGGATGACACGGTTGAAGTTCTCAACATGTATTCTTCTCCTTCAGGCTCTAGCCGCCGACGGTCATGTATTTTCTCGGGCTGTTGGTCTCCTCAATATCCAGCCAATGTTGCGTCTTGACTACACAGCGTCAGATGTCTCCATTGACCAGCTTTCTGCTCACCAGAGCTCCCTGGAAGAGCAGGGCATCTCAACTGCTCAGTGGGACCCTCTTCAGGGCCCAGCAACGGGCGGTCTGGATGGGGCTGACCTGGTTGTGTGTAACTGTGTGACAGGGCACACGGCCTACCCTGCACTTTTGATAGAGAACCTGACTTCAGCTGCGAGGGAAGGCGGTTTTGTTTTGCTTCACACCCTACTGAGAGGAGACACACTGGGAGAGACGGTAGCCTTCCTCACATCTCAAAACAACCAGGAGGGTTTGTTGACACAGGTGTGTGCTTAAAAACTTTAACGTGCTTAAATTAAACATAAATGAAACATTTATTTTAGCTGTAATTGATTTTATATTTAATGAAAATTAAATATACATTAAACATAAATGAAAGTGAATAACAAAGTTGTATTTAAGTAACAACATTACATAACTTGGCATTGTTTTGTCTGTTCTTTTATTTTGTTTTGCCTGTCTCATTGCATCGTTCTCAGGTTCTAAACGGAATTGTTTTTTGTTTTCAGACTGAATGGGAGGAGCTCTTCCAAAAGGCCTCTTTAAATGTGGTCATGCTGAGAAAGTCCTTCTACGGCTCTGCTCTCTTCCTCTGCCATCAGCGCCAACAGTCCCCTCAGGATCAACCTATACTTATTTTTGTGGACCCTACTGACTATAAATGGGTGGAGACTCTAAAGGTGATTAATAAAGTCAGCATAAAATGAAAATTCACAATATCTGTTTAGACAATACTTGTTATAGATCTTACTGTGAATTATTCGTCCATGTATATGATCCTTTTTTTTAATGGAAAGAAGTGACCTTGTAATGTTTCATCCAAAATGTCATAACTCTGTCTTCTGTTGAAAACTTCAGCCTTCTCTCAGGTGGCATATGCAGCACTTAGCCAATCATTTAGTCCTCTTACTGCAAGTTTGCATTCATTTTGAGTACAACGCACACATCTCAAAGTCCAATCAGCAACTGATAGATATGCTCAAGTCCCTGCCCTACAATTTTTTTTTCTTTTTTGATAATCCGTCGACACAATATGGGGGGAAAACATTTGTCACTACTTCGGTTTCATCATGATATTAATCATGCAAACTCATTAGTGGTGTTGCCAAGCCCTCCAAGAACACTCTGCAATCCCATAACAACAGGCTAAAACCAATCGGCAGACTCATTAAATTAATCCTAATGCATGCTTCTAACCCTTTCTGTCTCCTTTTTTCTCATTAGAGCACTTTAGCGGAGTCATCTGATATCCCAGTCTGGCTCATTGCCACTAAGGGTCATAATGGAGTGGTGGGAATGGTGAACTGCCTCAGACAGGAGCCCGGAGGCAACCGTATACGGTCCGTCCAATTCCTGTGCAATTAGTGTTCCATATATGCTACTGTACTTTTGTTATTATATTTTTGATGTTACAATTATGCAATTGTTAGGTATTGAATGTTTTGTAGTATAGATGTTTATGTAGTATTCATGTACATGGTCTTTTTTCTCCTCTCCAATAGGTGTGCATTTGTTTCTAATCTAAGTAAGGATGCTGAAGTCCCCTCACTTGTTCCTACCAAAAAGGAAATGAAGGCATTACTAAAGAAGGATCTGGTCATGAACGTGTACCGTGATGGACAGTGGGGTGTTTTTAGACACCAGTTGTTAACACAAGGTAAAAAAGGAAGTCATATAAGACTTTCAGTGACATGCTGACTGATCTGTCTTTGATTGGATAAAGTCTTTTGAGCATGTTGTGATCGTCTTCTGTTCTGTGCATTAATGTTTAGATCTTAGCGAGGAGTTGACAGAGCAGGCCTACATCAATGTCCTGACTCGCGGTGATCTTTCATCGCTAAGATGGATCGCTTCCCCGCTTCGTCATTTTATCCCATCCAATCCCAACGTGCAGCTCTGCCGTGTTTACTACTCCTCCCTCAACTTCAGAGACATCATGCTGGCCACTGGCAAACTGCCTCCAGATGCCATCCCTGGTTTGTACCCCATCCTGTTTTTGTGAAATCTCGCACGCTAGCTTACCCTATAAAAAGACTTCGGAAAGAGACTCTTCTCGTTTTGTCTGTGCAGGAGACATAGCGCTGCAGCAATGCATGCTGGGAATGGAGTTTTCAGGGCGAGACCCCAGTGGACGACGTGTAATGGGTTTGCTGCCAGCAAAAGGTCTAGCCACCTGTGTGGACGCAGACAAGCACTTCCTTTGGGATGTTCCATCTAGCTGGTGAGAACCTCAGCACCTCTGAATCTGAATGAGACGTCTTCCTCCAAAACTCTCAATGCTAAGTAAAGCTGTGTTTATGTGCAGGACGCTGGAGCAGGCAGCCTCTGTTCCAGTGGTGTACGCCACTGCATATTATTCGCTAGTGGTGCGAGGGCGTCTGAGGCCTGGAGAAAGCGTGCTGATCCATTCAGGCTCTGGAGGGGTGGGACAGGCCGCTATTGCTATTGCACTTAGTATGCGCTGCCGAGTCTTCACAACTGTCGGTAAATGACACTTTTGCTTCCTTAAGAATTTAAAAAGATGTGTTTTGTAATTAATGAACACTGGTAGACTTAAAGCTCTTTGCTAGTAAATTAACAGCTACACAAAAAGACGGAAATGTGTAAAATGAAATGTGTTAAATGAAAACTAATTTTGGTTTCAAATTGTCAGTAAAAAAACTAAATTTGGTATATCACTAATTGAAACACGTCTATAACACAGTCAATGAATAACTACAACATAAAGAATTCAACAAAGGGCAGTTATACTCATTTAAATTTCGTGTTTTAATTAATATATAAAATCTTTAATTTTCTTGCATGTGACACTTGTCATTTTGTTGACTAAATTAGATGCTATTGTAGTCAGAGTGAAATTGGCTATAATCAATGAATGCGGCGCAATATCGTAAATTGTGTACATTTAGTGGAGATTTTCATCAAAAGACAAAAGCTATGACTAAAACACCTGCTTAAAAATAAACACTGCTGACATGTATCTTATTTTGATTCACAGGTTCTGGAGAGAAGAAGGCGTACCTGCAGGAAAGATTCCCACAGCTTACAGCGGAATCTTTCGCTAATTCTAGAGACGCCTCATTTGAACCGCATGTAATGCTCCAGACTCAAGGCAAAGGTGAATAGACTGCATTACAATGACTCTGAATACACAACAGCATTGCGTCTAAATTGCTGTGGATTGAGGTATTAAACCACCATATGTATGTGTGTTTTTTCAGGAGTTGATTTGGTACTAAACTCCCTAGCTGAAGAGAAGCTGCAGGCCAGCTTGCGTTGTTTGGCCAGACATGGGCGTTTCCTGGAGATCGGCAAATATGACCTTTCTAACAACACACCACTAGGTGCGTCCCAGATGTACAACAATTTCTGAATCAATCAAAAATCATCTTAGATCTATTATTCTCTTACTTTTACACTTCCATGCGTTAAATGTAATTGTCCAATTGTTCTTGGTTCAGGTATGGCTCTGTTCCTAAAGAACGTGGCCTTCCACGGCATACTGCTGGATGCTTTGTTTGAGGAGGGGAACAGGGAATGGGAGGAGGTATCTGAGCTTCTGAAGAAGGGAATCGCTAGTGGTGTCGTTCAGCCATTACGTACCACTGTCTTTGAGAGGAACCAGGTGGAGGATGCCTTCCGCTACATGGCTCAGGGCAAACACATCGGCAAAGTCCTGCTGCAGGTAAGGGCGGTGGTTGATTTTAATGAACCTGCATAAAAAAAATGAAATATTGGATGGTAGATTTCTCATCCTTTACTGTGCTAATTGCTTCACCTCTCAGGTACGTTCAGAGGAGACGAGCAGCACTGTTCCTGCAGCCTCTGCTCTTTCTATTCCCGCTATCTGCCGTACCTTCTTCCCTGCCTCTCTCTCATACATCATCACGGGAGGTCTGGGTGGTTTCGGCTTGGAGTTGGCCCAATGGCTCACTGAGAGAGGTGCTCGTAAACTGGTGCTGACATCACGTTCTGGCATCCGCAATGGTAAATATGCACTAGGATGTGATCAGTTTTCATGTCAGCGTTGGTCAGTGTTGTTATTTAAATTTAACTGACGTTATAGGTAAATCATATTTATGTAATATTTATATTTGATTTGATTTATTTAGTTTCCTAGGCAATAATAAGTATAAATTAAAGCTAAAACAGAAATATTAAAACATAAGAAATAAATAAAAAAGCAAAAGCACATAAATTTGTAAAATTATTAAAAATCTTTTTCATTAGTTGAAATAAAACTGAAATAAAATTAAAAAAAATTAGATAAACTTTAACATTTAGAAAATTTAAAACAATGCCTTTGCAATTAACTGAAATAAAATAAGTTTGTTGAAGTGCTAAAATTACTAAAAACTGAAATAAATATATAATAAATAATACTGAAATGAATAAAAATTAAAACTAAATATAAAAATAATAAAATTGACAAAAGCACTAATGTACTAAAAATAATATTTAAATATTTTCATTAAATATAAAATAAAATACAGCTAAAATAAAATATAAACATTAGATAAAAAATTAAATTATTTTAATTAAATTAAATTCAAAATATTAATAAATACTGTAATGGTATTTAAATAATACTAAAGTAACACTGATGTTGGTCAGGGCAACACACTAAAACGTTTGTTGTCTTGACAGGTTATCAAGCCAAGCGTGTTCGGGAGTGGCAGGCCATGGGCATCCAGATCCTCGTGTCCACTAGTGATGTCAGCTCAATGGCAGGGACGGAGCGTCTCATCAGTGAGGCCTGCCGCTTGGGTCAAGTTGGTGGCATCTTCCACCTTGCCATGGTAATATTCAGTTGTTGCTTTCAGTTCACTTTCTTTGTAGTCAAATTAAAGACAAATACATAACTGATGTTTTTCTCTATCAACTAGGTCCTCAAAGACGGCATGCTGGAATGAAATTTTCACTTTTTGAAATGTTACAAAAAAAAAGTTTTGTAACTTTTTTTTACGATATTCAAATTTTTTGAGATGCGTGTGTGTGTGTGTGTGTGTATATGTGTGTATATATATATAAATATAAATATCTATCTCATGTTTTTTCATTGTGCATTCCAATTAATCTCAATCAAACTGCAGTTGGGT